TAAGACTTATGTGTTACCTACTACACTTCTTTATGTTCTAATTAATTTAATCTCGGTATTGGTATCCAATTATTTGCTAATCACTTATAATTAGTTCTATTAACATCCAATGATTATGCAATGTCAATATTTTTTTCTCTAAACAAACATCCCAATGATCATGCAAGGTAATTGGTCGAAAAAGCATGAAGATTCTATGAGTTTGTTAATTTAATAACGGGTGAAAGAAAGGAACCAAGTGTGATTAACTTAGACCCTTGTCTCATTTTATCCTATAGTTCCGTTAATTATACGTGATACGATCACCTACAATGCAACGAATTATGGGATGCTAAGGATGATCAAATCTTAACGTACAAAATATAATCCAATAGAATTAAAACTAAACATTAAAGAAAAACAAATACCAACATTAAAAGTAAAAATCACACAAACTTTGCAGTAGGATCTGGCATAGCCCTACCTATGGATTTAGTTACTCATAACAAAATAAACTACGAAGAAGGTGATAAATAAACCCATAACCACAAAGGAAAACTCAAATAAAAGAAACTCAGAAAGGTAAAAGACAAAGAGAGGAAGCTTGTCGTCCTTGCCAATGGTCCTCAATGAATCTCAAAGATGAGTTGGGTTACAACTAAGAAGGGGAAAAAGATGTGTATAGAAGTGGAAGTATATCCAATGTGGAGCATAAGGCCTCTTTATATAAGTTGTGTCCTGAGTTTCTAGTTGTTTCAGCTTTATTTTTTTAAATCAGTTTTATCTACAATTAGAATTGCTCCAAATTTTCATATCTAAGTTTAAATTTTAAATTCAAAATTCAAACTCAACTTCACATAGCATTGTCAAGGACTAAAAATATATAATTTTTATCCAGAATATCTCCATAATGCACTAATAACAACTTCCAGCTAAACTGTAATAATTAATAATATAATTAATATAAATATATATAAAATAAAATTTAAATGTATAAATATATCAAAATATAAACTTATTAATTATTTTTGCATAGGCAATTTTAGATTCAGCATTAATATTAGAGCATATTAAACTCAAGACTCAACAAATTCTAACTACACATTTGCTTACATCAGTGTTCTTATTTATTTTTTGGAGCTTAGAACTAATGGAAAGCATAAAATTGTTGTTTCCTTAGATACTGGATGAACATATTTATTTTATTTTGAGTCTTTGAGAGTAACTTCTAGTACTAAGGTGTGTAAATATATAACTTGGTGTACGATATTACTCTGATGAACTATTTTTTAGCATCTTTGATGCTCCTTGTATGAATGAGTCACAGAATGTCTCATTAATAGGATTGAGTAATAGCCTGACATCAATTTAAAAAAAAAATAAAATTGCACCACAAGAACGTTCTTTTTCACAAAATATTGTTGCACGCAAGTTGCTTTCACTTCATGTTACGTCTTCTACCTTCATACATGTATACGTAGAAATGTTAAGTTCAAATATTATATATATATATATATATATTACGTAATTACTGTACTTATTGTGATTTTCTTTTTCAAGTACTTATCATGTATTATACATGTTGTCATCCTACTTAGATTGAGCACTCGTATTTTTGTAATATTTTAAAAGAAATTTATGAATAATTATAATAAAATTTTATGACATTATTTTTTAATTTTTTATATTTTTTTATATGTTTTATTTGGTGATCTAACGTGTGAGCAAATGTATTGAATTATGGAGGTAAGTCTAATTCATATTTACTTGCCTCACCGTGGAGTAGAAAAATGTTAGCAATAAACTTTTAATTATTAAGTAAATTTTATTAAAAATTATAAAAATTACTTGAAAATTTTTTTATTCTTAATTTAATATTTTATTTTTATACTTAAGTGGAGTTGGTCTCGTTTTAACTTAATACAATGTAAACCAATCCGAGGGAACCTAATTGACTTACTTTCACAATTGCTCTCACGACCTCACAACTTTTTCCATGTTATCAGAGTAGTTTCCAGCGGAAAGGCCATATAACACCTGCAAGTTGAGCAAATAATATGCTGTCCTTGCTATTTGACTTTTGTACTAGTGTCTATTGGTGAATAGATATAAGAGGTTTAAATAAAACAAAATCTTTTTATGATTTTTGCCCATTATTGGTTACACGTATAAAGGCCGGCAAATTTATTATAATATTGTAAATTAAAAAATAATTTATTATTTTATAGTAAATCTGAAACAATTTTTCAGGGATTTTTTTGCCACGTGGATCAATTTTTCGCTATAACAACTGGCGAAAGTAATTAATTTTTGAATTTTTTATACGAAATATGACTTCTTAGATCGGTTAGTTTAAAACCGCTCTCATAACTCTATTTTAGGGAGCGGTTCCTTATGAACCACTCTCATAACTATATTTTAGAGAGCGGTTCCTTATGAACTGCTCTCATAACTCTATTTTAGAAAGCGGTTCATCATGAACCACTTTGAAATTTCAATATTAGAGAGCGGTTCCATTTGAACCGCTCTCAAAAGTCATGTAAGTGAGCAGTTCCATATGAACCGCTCTCAGAAGTACATATTAGAGAGCGGTCCTGCCGGAACCGCTCTCTTATATTTAAAATGGACGGGTGGGGAGATTTTGATACACGTGGCAACATCTGAGATGATTCACGCTGCTACTGGCGAAAGTTTATTTCGCCCTGCAGTTAGCGAAACCGTTTAGGCATTGTAATTATATAAAACTAAATATAGTTTACTTGAGTTAAATAAAATTATATAAAACTAAAAATTGAGTTAAATAAAATAATTATATAAAACTAAATATAATAATTTATATTTAGTTTGATTGTAATAAATAATTTTTATACCTATAATGAAGTAAAATTTTAAAATTGTAAAATTTTAAATGCAGTAATCATAATTTATATGAAATGTATGTATAAAATTTGTATGTAAATAATAAAATTTTTTACTTTTAAAAATGTAATATTATTTATATGATTATAAACTAAATGTAATATATGTAAATTTAAATTAGAAAAATGAAAAAATAAAAATATAATTAAATTTTATGCTAGTAATTAGAGTTTTATATTTATATAAAATTTATGTAGATTTAAATTAGAAATATAAAAAAATAAAAATGTAATTTAATTTTATGCAGTAAGTAGAGTTTTGTATTTAAATAAAATTTGTATGTAAATAATAATATTTTTTACTTTAAAAAACGTAATAGTATTTATATAATTATAAATTAAATGTAATTTATGTAGATTTAAATTAGAAATATGAAAAAATTAAAATGTAATTTAATTTTATGCTAATAATTAGAGTTTTGTATTTATATAAAATTTGTATGTAAAATTTATGTAGATTTGTATTTAGAATAATTAAAAATTTATATATCTTTAGTTATAATATGTATAGAATATAGGTTAGTATATTTAAAAAGAATTTATTTATTTAATTTTGTTTATATACACTTGATTTTTCAATTTATAATATATTGTAATGAATATAATATGATGTCATTACAATGTGATAATGATTTGTTAGAAAATTTGTTTGATCTTTATAAAATATGTATTATTAATATGTTAGTAAAATATAAATTATTATTATTATTGAATGAAATTTTTTTACTAATATTTTTTATTGTTGTATAGATGACATTATCTTCACAACAAAGTAGGGTTATTAATCCCGGGGCAGAAGATCTATCAAAATTAACATGACTAACATGACTTTTCAGAGCTGTTCAAATGGAACTGCTCTCTAAAATAGAGTTATGAGAGCGGTTTTAAACTAACCGTCATATTTCGTATTTTTTGTGGCGAAATAAATATTAAAAAATTTAAAAATTAATTACTTTCGCTAACTGTATGACGAAAAATTGATACACGTAGCAAAAAAATCTCAAATTAAGAAATTATTTCAGATTTGCTATAAAATAATAAATTATTTTTTAATTTATAATATTATAATAAATTTGCCATAGGCCTCTGGTTTCTGTAGCTTTCACGCCTCACACGCAGTACATTATTATTTCGCATAAAACAAAAGGGGGTAAAAAGGCCAAGGGCAATGGGTTTTGTTGTGGACATTGTTGACGTGGACATTCAAAGGTTCCCACCTGTCTCCATCTTTGCAGGAAAAAGAAAGAAGATAGATATACCAAAGTATTATTTTTTTAATACTTTTTAAATAATAAATTACTATAATAAAATAAAAATAATATAATTTCCCTATCCAGACTTTTTTATGAAATGGAGGCCACGAGGGAAAGATACTGTGGATTTATCCGCAAACAAAAAAAAATAGTCTAGTTGAGTGGAGATTCAAAATAAATAATACTATTTAATAATGAAAGATTAAACTTAATAAAATTATCGGCCATTTAATTAATTTCTCTGAAGATATGGACATACTCTACACTTTGAATGCCACTTATCATTTTAATAAAATGATTGAATAAAGAGTAATAAAGATAATTCTGAAGGCCATCTTTATTTAAAAACTGAACTGTTACAATCGAGTCTACTTTAATAATAAAATAAGCTTTAATTTCATGACTCTTATTAAATGAATGTCATGATAAAATATACATAATTATACTTAGAGAACAGAATAAACTCTATTCATTCTTGATTATGTAAAGATAAAATTACTAAGCCAATATCTGTGAATACCTTCACACACTGTCAGTTTTGACGAGAAATAAAACTCATTTTTTTATATAGACGAAACTAAAAAAAAATGAGATGTGTACATAGTTTCGTTTATTAAAAACAAAAAACATAAAAATTTGAATTTTAAAAGTTTAAAATTTATTTTAACAATTGTCACTCTATGTTAACACGTGACTTATCAGGCTCTCTATTTTGTCGCTGTCGAAGACAAAATTATCTAATTGAACTGTGTCACAGCTAACAATTACCTTTTCTCTCTCCCTTCTCCCTTCCTTGCTCCCAATTTCTCCTTTTTTATTTGTATTTTTGTATTTTTGGTGAGCCCCCATCTCATTCTTCTTCTTCATTTAACGAGTAGGTTGTAGATCTGCCGCCACTCCCTCCAAGTGGTTGAGGAGCAACCTCAGTTACGCTTTGAGCGTGGGTAGCCATGGTCGTCCCTGGTTCATTGCCATTGCCCTTTTTCTAAAAACTGCCACCCACACCCCAGAAATCGCTACCCACTTGTCGAAAACTGCTGCCACCCAGGTTTATCTTTAATTAATTAATTTGTTTAATTTAATTAATATAAATTTTAATTTTTTAAAAATAGGTTTATGGTAACATGTGATTTAAATTTCATTAATATTTATATAAATTGATTTGTGAATTTTAAAAATTTAAAATAATTTATATTTTAATAATTTAAGGTGTAATATGATTAAAAATGTAGAATTTTAAATTAAAAATTAAACTAGTAAATTTGAAGAAATTAATGTTAATTATACATGTGTATTTACATTAAAATAAAATTGTTTTTATGTTATCGTTTGTAAAATTTAATAAAATGTTGTAGATAAAAAATTAATAATAAATAAAAATTACAATGATAATAATATCACTCATTCTTTATTTATAAAAAAGATAATATTAAATCAACAAAAGTTATTATGAGTAGCGAGTAGCTTAATATCGTTTAAGTAAAATTTTATATTTAAGTTTTTGTATATATAAAAAAATTTTAGTAATAAATTTATTTATTACATCTAGAAGGTGTGTAGTCCATATCATTTTTAGATTAGATCAAATAAAAAATAATATTAAAAATAAAAATATATTTACTAATTTATATAAATAATATATAATAAATTATCTTTAAAAATATAGCAGTTTCGTCTAAAGCATAGATAAAACTACTTTAATCTTTATACGTATTATAGCAATTTTAATGTTTAATTCTATAATATTTTGAGTCTAATACAAGAACTATAAATTGTAGCAATTCGGCAAAAATATTTAGCAAAAAGCCTGTATTTTTTGCAACAATTTTTGCATCCTGAATTTCGCAGGAAAGAAATTGTTAAAATTATGTCAAAACAATAAAAAATCAACATACACCATAAAGGCAAACTAGTACTAAATTAAGAGGAGATAAATGCTGAAATACTGTGGGTTTAAAATGATGTGTGGTTCATGATTTAAAAAAAGAAAAAAACAAAACGATACTCAAATCAGACATTTTTAACTCAAATTATAGATAGATAAGTGCAAAGTAAGCAAACTATGACAGCATGCAAGTTTTGCAAAGAAAAACAAAAGGTGTTACAATCATGTCAAAGCATTCAAAATTAACGTTAAATAATCATAACTATTATTATTAGACTAAATATGTATAATAGATAGTGAGGCTTAATAATTTATTTTAAAAATATAAATGTTCTTTAATTTTTAAATATTAAAATAATTACAACTGAAAGAATATAAAATGTCATTTTAAATTCACGAACAGAGTAACAGTTAATAGATGAATTCAAAAATTTTGTAAGTTTAAAGATGTGTGATCTTGTGGGTTCTAACAAAAAAAGAAACACTACACTCAAATCAGTTCCACATAAATTTTTATAAAAAAAAAAATACTAAACAAAAAGCTCAGTTTTTTTTTTATTTGATCTTTTTAATTGAAATGCTATCAGTATACTTATTCAAGCACAAGAGGGTAGGAAATTTCAAGTTTAAAAATCAATCATGGCCATTAAAAATATCTTATTTCTTTTTCAACAGATAACAGTATTCTTTTCTTCATACAACAAAGTGGATGTTTCGATCTTATCCAGTTACGCTGTAGGGATACTCTATAATAACTGGAGGATACTCTATAGTGATGCAACCTGTAAATTAGAGAAAAATGATACGACATGTAAAAGATAAAAATAAAAAATGTGTCAAATGGTTTTGCTATAAAAATGTCAAAACTATGTTTAGTGGGGGCGTTTGGCATTTTTCACGGAATAATGTCATCAGCATCTGCCATTATTGATGGGTCTATTTCTAAACTTGAAAGGTGCCTAAAGTTCAGATGTCATGTGGACATGGTTGGTGGATCGATGGCAACTTTTGCATATGTACCTACAATTTAAATTATAGAAAACCGAACATATACTACATGATAATTTTAATTTTATTTTTTAAATTTCTCCCGAAAACTTTTTTTTTTTAATTCAATAACATACAGAAAGTAAAAGTTAGGTACGTCTATCAGTTAATTCATTTATTGGCTTTCAAAACCACGATGTTTGAGATATATACGTTATTTCGCAAATATTGAATAAATATCTTGGATATTTCTCTCTTATGTAACACAATAAAATTTGGACAAATAATTGTAAATCGAAAATGTTAGAAGTCATATTGTCGTATCTGCGATCGGGACGCAAAATCTATTAAGAAAGAAATATTTTTTAAAAGTAAAAATATTTTCTAAAAATAAAAAAAGTTGCCACTTGAATTTTATTGTTAAAATATTACTATTTGGCAAAAAAAAATGAGTTTGTGAGTTGATATTAACACTATATTAAGATATTTTAAATTATTACTTTACGTTAATTCTATAAATTTATTTTAGTTTTAAGAAAAGAAAAATTATTTTAAAAATCGTTTAAATTGGATGGTTCTTATTTATTTTTAAGTGCGATAAAAAACTTAAAATTATGTAATTTTATTTAAAAGACTATAAAATTAGTTGATTAAATTAAAATTAATAAAATAAAATTTATTTTAAAATTAAAAATATTTTTATAAAATTATAACGTATAAAATACAATATATATGTATCTATATTTATGTATCATAAAATAATATAGAAAATAAAAAAAAATTACACAACTATAATACAAATGCATTCTTATTCATTACAGTATTAGCCTAAAACTTCCAAACTCAAACGCAATAAATTAGCAGAGGCCTTAGTCTCGCACATGATTTTATGCTTTCCTTCAACGTGCAACTCTAGTATATGCACTGTAATATGCTCTACACAAAATAATTTGTAGACCTATATATAAAGCCACATGTATACCTTTAGGTAATTGAAAAATGAGACTTGAATTGTCGAAATTCTTTATGGATTATCAATGATATTCTATTCTTCCATTTTAGTTTGTAAACATGAATTATTTATTTGAGAGCGAATATATATATATATATATATTGTATCCTATAGAATCTTTTATTTAATTTTCTTTCTGATTGTATCATCTTATATGAATATATATGCAATGGGCACATTATACTATATACATATGAATATCAGATAGGAATTTTGATATTTTAGAAGATAAAAAATAGTTGAAGCCTTGAAGCAAATGTACCCAATCAAAACCCCTAATCTTAATAGTTATTGGTCATATTTTATTGAAACTTTTGAAATATATTTACGATGTTATCAGCCAAATACTTTTGAGTTTGAATCATAGATATTTTTCCTTATCACTAAATTTAAGGCTATTAAGATTTAAGAAATTGAAACCTATTCAAAGTTAAATAGAATTGCAAATAAAAGTCTCTCTCTTTTACCGTCCTCTCAGTGCCGTACGAATTTGAACAACCATGTAATGGGCGGTGGGAACGTTGAAAGACAATAGTAGTTCTTCCCAAAAGATAATAGGTTAGAGTGGTGGACAAAAACAATGAGTGTACTTGTTCCCCGCAATCACCACAATTTTCCTCTTTTCCATGCAATGAAGATTCAAAAAATTAGGGATATAGATTTAGTGATCTTTAACACGCAATCAGAGTGTGCAAGACGCAATTAGAGTGTGAAAAGTTAGAGGGTGCGAACAATTAATCTCAGAGTATGCAATTCTTGAATGATTGAAGGAAAATATGTGAGCAAGGCAAAGTTTATTCTTGGAATGTAAAAGACAAAGTATATCCGAACCAGCTCGAGGGAAAAAAGATAAAAAATAAAAAAATTATTATAAGGGAAGAGAGAGAAAATATAACATCCAACAAATGTGAATAGCTTTTATAAGTATACTACTTTTCTTTCTTCCGTTAATAAATTTTATTTTATTTATAAGAATAAATATTTTAAATTGATATAAAATTAAGTTGACTTAATTGTATTTTTTATTCTTGTAATTTAACATACGAGCAATTTTGATCCTCTTAATTTTAATTGCTTGCATTTAGTTTCTTTAATTTTTCAAATGCTTAAAATAATTCAACATCCTAAAATTTTATATAATAAATAATACAAATTTAATGGGGGTATGATATTTCATTAATTTATGCAAATGTATAAAAAAATATGATATAAAATATTTGAGTAAAAGTACAAAAAATTATAAAATATGATAAAAGTTTAATTTTGGAATGAAAGACTTAATTTGAGTATTTAAAAAATTATAAAAATTAAATGTGAGCAATTAAAATTAGAGAAATTAAAATTACATGTGTTAAAATATAGAGATAAAAAAATGCAATTAAGTCAATGGAGTTTTATTAATAATTATATTTAAATTAATAAATTATATGATATTTTATTTTTAAAATTGTCTAGAGAATAATTTTATTATATAAAAAAGACAAGAAATTTAAAGTATCAAAATAATAACAGATTATTTATATGTAAATTTATAAAAATATAAGTTATAATTTTTTATAGTTTCTAATAGAATAATTATAAAAAATTAATATTTATAGAATTGTTATAAAATTTTATAGTCGTGCAATTTTAAAATAGAGCTAAACTGTTGCTTATATATATATATATATATGTATATATATATATATGTATATATATATTTTGTATAAATTATTAAAAAATAATTGTTAAACTATTCTTTAATTTGGATACATGTATTCTTCCATTGTTCATTATAGCAGTAGACTGAAATTTCCAATCTTATACGCAATAAAATAGCAGAGCCCTGAGTTTAACAGATATGAATCCATTTTATGTTTTTCCTCAATGTATAACTCTTAGATAGGCACTGTAGCATGCTGTACACAGTATAATTTGTAGGCCTATGTATAAAGCCACCTGTAGGTAATTGAAAATGAGGCTTGAATACTAATATAAAAATTCTAAATTCATTTTTATCAATTGTATATAAAAATTCTAAATTTTATATTAACAAACTAGTATAATAAGATGATAATAGAATAATTTTATAATTTTATGCAAAACTGATGTGTATTTTAAATATTAAACAATGCAAATTAGATGTTACTTTATAATTTTTTAGAATGATTGTTTATAAATTATTAATTAAAACTTTTTGTAACCATTATTTATTTTAAATTTTAAATAACAATTAATAATTGTAGTTTATTATGGTTGGAATAAATTTTTTTATTCATTGTATGTATTTTAAATTTTTATGCTATTAAACAAAATAAAAAATTATTTATTATATTTTTTAGAAAACGTACGGTTTACTTAATGTTGATAAAAAAGGTGTTGTTATAAATATAAAATGTCACATACTCAAGAAAGAAAGCACATCCTCGGGATTGCAATGTAAAGTATTTAGGATTAAGTGCTCACTCTTCACCTTATTATACGTTAAACAATATAACGAACATACAAGAAATATCAATTAGCATAAATGTTACTCATTGCAAAATTTGATTTGGTCGATTGGAACAAAGAAGAAAACAAAGTAATTTGAAAGAAAAAAGGAAAAGAAACAACTCAAGTACTGTCTCTGTCCCGACTCCTGACTCTGGGAAAATTGATGCAAGACACAACACATAGTAGGAGATCAAAGAAACAGCCAACATAGCCACAATTGGTGAGAGACCAGTTGCTGATGACTTATTTGATGAATATGAGTTGGATGGTTCGGTTTTGGTTTTTGTGTTATTAGTGGGTGTGTCTGTGGTTTCATCAGAATGTGAGTCTTTACTAGATGATGGTGACACAGCAGGAGCAGTGGCTTTTCTAGCCTTTACAGCAACAGCAAGCTTCATGCCACCTTTGCAATGCCCAGGAATCGAACATATGAAGTAATGAGTGCCAACACTTTTAGGGCCAATAGTTGTTGCGCCACTACTTTCTGTACTCAATGAATTGCCCACACTGCATGTCTTGTAATCGCTTTTCTTAACTTTATCCACACTGTGACCAGTTCCATAGTTGAAAACTATCACACGTAAGGGATATATATGAATATAAGGTGCTTCCTTGGGATTTTATTGCTATATATGTCAACTTAATTACAGATATATATCATTGTGATAAATATGTGTCGTGTGTATAATAAACTATCTATGTAGCACGGATAGGTTACTAGTATAGGATACGAAACAGTATGATACATAAATATGTTAATTTTTAAAAAATTTAACATACGAGTAAAATATATTTTGTATAAATTACTTATATTTTGTTAATTTATTTTTCTTGATTTTTTAATTTTTTAATATATCGAGTGTTTATTTTAACTTCCTCTCGTTATCGTATTATTATTGATCTTTAGTCTCTTAAAAGCTTTATTAAAAAAACATAATCATAATAAATTTAAACAAAAATGTTATATTCAAGTTATAATACTAGTTCTTTTATTATCTAAAGAAAAGATATAAAATAAAAAATTAAAAGCAATGCAATCAAGCTTTAATACTAGAGGTTTTGTATGATTTGCGTATCATATATTCTGTACAGGTACGTTGTCATTTTTGTAGTATCCGTGCTTCATAAATAATAAATTATGATGTTGTTAACATTTTAGCCATTGATTTAAAAATTATATATCTTTCCAAATTTTATTTTATTTTCCCTATTTTGGAGTTGAATAGCATAGCATTGTGCATGAAACAAAAGGGACCTTACCAAGACTATCACCAACTACAAAGGTCAAGCTACCAGCCCATGTGCTGTAATCAGTGCCAATTGTCCAACCTGAAGTGTCTCCGACTGTGTGGATAGCTGCGAGTGTTGGCAGAGCCATGTTGATTGCTAAACATAGACCCAAAACTAGTGCATTAGTGGATGCCTTTTGATGAGATACTGTGGGAAAAGAAAGGAAACAAACTACAGAGGCTTACTGATTCTAACACAATTGTAGAAATTGAGAGGAAGAAGATGAGAGCAGAGAAAAGGAAGATACTAAAATTCATCATGTATTCAAAATCAAAGTAAAATGACAAATTATAAGTACTACCTACAACAATAACTACCTTTATATATATACATGGACCAAAAAGCAAGAAGAAAATAACTAACTAAACATAACAACCCCTATAACAGCTTAACTAATAATAGCCAGTTAATCTAATATCCCCCTTAAGTTGAGAGGAAGATATTTTCAATTCCCAACTTGGACAGAATGCTAAGAAAAGATTTTTTAAGCAGAGCTTTTATAAATATATCACCCAATTAATGGTATTTTCTGACATGAATGAGCTTGAGGACACCTTTTGTAACTTTATCCCTTACGAAGTGCAAGTCAATTTTCAGGTAATTTGTTCTTTTATGAAATGTTAAATTTCAAGCAATATGAATAGCAACTTTATTGTCGCAATAGATGGCAGCATGCGGTGTTCTGATATTGAAATCAGTAAGGAAATTCCAGATCCAAGTAAGTTCACTTGACACAGAAGCCAAGGCTCAATATTTAGCTTCCGCAGAGGATTTACTGACTGTCTTTTGCCTCTTTGCTTTCCAGAAAATTAGAGAATTTCCTAAAAGCATGTAGAATCCTGTCGTAGACCGTCTGCTATTTTTACATGCGCCCCAATCAGCATTAACATAAGCATAGAGCTTAGTGTTAGAATTTGATTTGAATAAGACTCCTTGACCAACTGTGTGCTTTAGGTACTTGAGTAACATATTAGCTGCATGCATATGATCAGTGTGAGAATTAGAAACGAACTAACTAAATTTATAAACTGAATAACATCTATCTTGCCTTGATATAGTTAGGTCTAGAAGTCTGCCAATTAGTCTTTGTTCAAAGGATAAGTGTACTCGTCAAAAAATAATAAAAAGTTTTAAAATAAGTTATTGAAATATCGTCCCATATAGATTAATTTTTAATTACTAAGAATTTTTTAATTCAATTATTTGAGCTAAAAGATGTGAAATTAAGTAAAAATCAGAATTTAATTATAAAATTAATTATGAATAAAAGCAAATATTACAACATAAATCTCGGTTGAACTTATATGAGAGGAACCTAGGGCATATGAGTTTTCTCATTTAATTTTTTATGCTATTTTTCTCTTTAACTCTAAATTTGATTTCCTTGTGATCACCGATCATTTATAAAAATACTATTAATACTCAATGATCATACAATACTAATATTTTTTTCCCTAAATTAATATTCCCAATGATCATACAAGACATCAATTAAAGAAAAAATAAAGCACCTGTGAACTTGTTAATTTAATAACGATTAGAAAAGAAAGATTAGTTTGGTCTACCTAATCTTTTCTCTTGTTTTATCATATAAATTCATTAACTAATCGAAGTATAGTTGTCTGACGATATAATTAATTAGGATTATAATTATGCGCAATAGGATAAAAGCTAATCATAAATAGACACTAAATATAAATTCAAACTTTCAAATTCCATAAATTCATGAATAATAGTTCTCATAGACCTAACTATGTACTTAGTTACTCATGCTAAAGAGAAGAACTAAAACAATTACCAAAAAAGTCATAGAAAAAAGCAAATTATAAAGAGATGATTTTTCGGTCTTTAAGTACAGTCGCTCGAAACTCCAAGTCTTACCATGAGTATGCCGACGATCCCATGCAAGAGAGACAAGATGAAAGGTGTATTGAAGAGTAAAAGACAATATGTAAGACAAGATACTTGAGGTCTCTCTTTAATAGGGATCGAAAACCCTAAAAGTTCTTCATTAATTAGATTTTTCGCAAATGAGCACAGTCATGCAAGACCATAAGCATAACCGTGCATGGGTTCAAAGCACTCTCGTTCTTCATTAATTGTTGATGATGTCATTATTTGGTCTAGTAATGACAATATCATCCACATAAACTAAAACGGCAATGAATGTGAAATTAGAGCCTTTGGTAAAAATAGTATAGTCATATTTGGACTACTTGTATCAATTGAAAATCAAAGTACTGCTAAAAGTTTGAAACTAGCTTCTTGAAGTTTGCTTTAGACTATACATGAACTTGTTCAATTTACAAACTAAAATAGAAAAAGTTTGGTTTATATATATATATAACTTAAGAGTTGTAATTTTGGCTACTGGAGAGAAAATTTCTTGGAAGTCCAATCTCTACAATTGAGTGAACCTGTAACGCCCCGATTCTCCTGATTTAGCTAGTGACCCTTGAAACGTACTTACTTGCTTATTCTGGTTCTTTAGTACCGGAATAATTAGATAGAGGTTAAATTATTTTATTTTGATAGAATATTGATTTATTTCTAAGATTCGGCATTTTAGGATAACTGCATGCAATATATGGTTTCAATATCGTCCAAGGATTTCTTTGAGTATGTTCAGCTGTACTGTCCGCAATACCCCTGATAATTTTATCCAGAAAAATTAAATTTTTATCTTATTTAATTTGTCAAATCAAAATTATCTACCTTGAAAAACGTGAGATTTTGTAATCATTACTAAGATTTTGTAATCATTCCTTAGCCGTCAAAATTCTGCACGGAATCTCACGAAATCTAGTAATCATTACTGTAAAGATTTTCAAATCTAGTATCGGCCACTAGAATTTCATGCAAAAGATTCTTGCCTCCCGATTTGTAGACATAATTATTCCGGAACTTTCTTGTCTTGTCTTCTAAAAGGCCGGCATCATGATTACTTTAATTAAATGCTTTTCTTGAAATTTGCACCATGTCAAATGTCCTTTCAAAAGTCAATCTCGTCACATCAAATTCCTCGTCGGCCAATTGCATTGCATGCATTTGCTGCCTAGAATCTAGCCTTTGGAATTTTGTGCAATTCTTGGAATGTTCTACTCCAAAGCCGTGTGCATGTAGCCTCCACATTCCTCCATGCATTTTGCTTGCCAAATTATATTTACTTAACTTGCAAGTTTGCAAAAAGAATTCACTATTCATGCACAAAAACCGTGGCACCCTTATTATTCAAGTTTTTCACCAAAATTCACTTCCAAATTGCTTCAAATCAATTTTGTGCAGTTTTGGCATTTGAATCTTGTCCCACAAGCCCAAACCGTGAGCACTAAGTTACATTTGGAAAAAGAAAATTGAACACTTCATATAAATAGGTCAAGCTATCTTATTTCCTCTCTTTTTTCACTCTAAAAACCGTGAGCCTCCCACTCTTTCTCTTAAAATCATTTCAAGTCCCATTCTTTCCATTTTCTTCAAAGAAACCGAGACCCTCTCTCCCTAAATCCCTTTAAAATTTCTCATCTTCTCAATCTCTCAAGACAAGCCAAGGAGCTCCAAGCTTTCACCTTTGCATCCTCTTGCTTGATTCTTCAAAACCGTGACCATTCCTTCAAGGAGGTAAGTTTTCTCACCCTTTTTCCTTCTTTGATTTGAAGAACCTTGGAAGCCTAACACCAAAAGCTCCTAAAACTTCCTTTCTCACTTTGATCTTAACCATTTTGAAGCTTTTCCCCTTTTCTCTTCAAAGAACTGAGGAAGACAACCTAGCCAAGAGGAGAAAGATTGAAGTTTGAAACTCATCCTCTCGGTCCAGCACTTTTCTTTTGAAGAACCAACCTAGATCAACTCCTTTCACTCACAAATTTTTGACACCTTCAAGGCAAGGGGGAGTTCTCACCATTGATGTGTTTGCATGTCCATTTCTTGGCTGTTTTTGCTCATTTTCCCTTTGAAAAAATAGTGTATATTGGACTGCATGTTTGAAGAACTTCAAAGCTGAACTTGCATGTTAAATTTTATCCAAAAAGTGTGTGAATTTCTTGTTTGCATGCCTCGGTTACATCCTAAAGAGCTTGATTCCACTTTTAATCAACTTCGTTCCTTAAAAGCTTGAAACTTTGATGTGTGAATGTGGATTTTCCCTTGTGCATGTTTCGATCTTTATGTCTCCTTGGAGAAATCTTTGAATTAATGATATTTCTTCTTTGAAACCATGAACCGTGAACTTGATTGACATATCCTCTCACTTGCATGTCGAATTTTAACCATGAAATGCTTTGGATCCCTTTGTGCATGCCTCAGTTTCACTTTTGTTTGGCTGGATTCCTTGTTTAAAATGTCGATCTACTCTTGTAATCAATAAACCTTGGATTGCATGTGAAATGGAAGCCATTACATGTTGATTTCAGCCCTTAAGTGTTTCGGTTTTCCCTTGGAAGTTTGAATGTCACTTGGAAATGTTGCCCCTGCACTTGGACGATGAAACTATGTCATTGCATGTTAATTTCCTTTGTGTTACCTATTTTTAACTTGACAGAAATCTAGTGGAAAGGCTGGACAGATTTGACCTTTCATGAAAAAGACTAGCATATTGAACTACACTTTAGAATTTGAAAACAGTGCTAGACTTTGTGTGAATTGCATGAAAATGGTTGGATGATGGATGATTGAATTGATTGTGATGTATGTTTCCACTTGGTTTAAAAGTTTCATGCATGTGGTGCTTTAGGAATTTGTGGTGGACAAGAAAGTGAAAACTATTCACTCTCGGTTTTGATGATAAGGAATCCTAAAAGTTGTGCTTGAAATTGTGTTAATTTTGATGAATTATGGATGATAAGGATTGTATAATAATAGGGTGTGTTTGCTGTTTGCACCTGGATCCGTGAGTATTAAGATGAATCATGCATTATGTTCATTGCATTATATACGGAATAAAAGGAAAAAAAAATCAAGTACAGCCCTTTTTGATGGAAAGATTACCCAAACTAAAAAGATAGTAATTAAAGGTGTGGAGATGGTAATTTAGGGTCTGGACATGGTAGTTAATTGATAAAAGTCATTCTTGGAAAGATCTTACTATTAGCTACTTAATAGAACCCATCGTGTGAGGACTTAATATTAATAAACCTAAAGAGAGCTAATAAACTAAGTAACCTTGAATTAAATAGGTAATCGGGAATCAATATAAGTAATTAGAAAATAACCAAATGGAAAAACCAGAGAGAAGAGGAAAGTGGAAACAATTCATATTTAAGTAGGAAGTAGTATAGTTAATAACGATGGAAATGATAAAATGAGCAATGGTGATATAGTAAACTATTATAATGGAATTGGATGAGGAAAATCTGAGTGGGTTATGTCAAAATTACTGAATTTATGTGTTGAGAAGTAGTGGATGTGTATTGATGGGATTGGAAAGTCGTATGTAATTCCTAAACCTTGTTGTTTAACAAATTTATGCTGGATGAGAAAGTGAATAATGATTGAGCAGGCCTTGTGAGGGCTTCGATTCTGTGCTTGAATTCCATGTGATCCAAGATTGAGAAAACATTGAGGAAGGAAAAAGAGAATCATGTTCCATGCATCATAACATTTCTTTGGAACGACTTGATGGCATAACAGAGGCACAGCTGTAGGTATTGGAGGTTCGGTCCCGAGTAGACCTACGGGGGTGGTGAAAGGGGGAACAGTCGACCTAGATGGCGCAGCAGAGCTCTCTGTGGCCGAGTCGTGACCCTACTTGCAAGCCTTAGCCAAGCCCGACAAGAACTCCACATCCTAGGGTCGTTGAGGTCCATTCCCGAAGAGACCCAGTTTGGGGCCAACACCAATTTGAGTGTTTTTGAATAATGATACAAATTCTTTTCTGTGCAATTGTGATGCAGGGAATGGAGTCCTCCGATCGCCACACAACTTGGATATGAAATTGTTAACTCTACACTAAATGCTGGGCAAGTCGCTGACAG